GTATTTTCAAAGGAGAAGGGGATTTAATTTTCAGGTTAGCGCAAACTATATAAATAAAAAAAAAATCCAGTCCTTCCTCTACAGATACTAATGGCTGGATTGTATCAGATGCAGACCCCCCTGATTTTCCATCCAATTCCTGTAGAAGGACCAGCACTTCAAGTCTGCCGTGCTGTCAGCTGCCACTATCACTGTTCTGCTTGAGTCAGCATTAGGGCAAACGTTAAGCAACTTGTTTTCTTCAAAGAAAAGCAGCAGTCTTCTGCAGAGTCTTCTCCTATCTCTGCACTTTGTACCAAAAGCACAGAGCAAAAACTCCACTTTCCTCACCCAGCCTCAGCTGAGAGCCGATCAGTCAGGAGCAGGATGTGACTGCTGGGAACAGCTCTTACCCAGAGACTCAGAGGTACTGTTCCTTGCGAATACAAAAACAGCTGAGCAGGTAATTAATGAAATTCCCTAAAAAAATAGCACCATGACAAGTTACTTGCAACCTAACTCCAGGGTGTCAGACACAGGATTCCCACACACAGCCACTGCTCTGTACACGCCAGCACTCACACCCGCTCCTTCCCCACAAACGCTTCAGTTGTCCCCTGCTCAGCCCTCCCCTTCTGCGTGCAAGGATCTCCTGCCGCTCCCTGGGCTCCCTCCAGGCTCCAGCCCTCTGCCCCATACCCCAAGCACCCCCTTCCCTCTCTCCTCTCTGACCCCTCTATGGCAGGAATCCAACAAAACTACACCTCGACTCTGCACACGGGTTTTCTTCCCACCTCGTTCCTCAGACTGTGCATCTCCTGCTGCTATAGCAACTCACTCATCCCTTTATCTTCCTCATCTCTCCTCCTTTTATTCCGCATAACAGTGTTTTCAAAACTGCACTGTGAGAATGAACAGACATACTCTTCCCATCATTTGCTCATTACATGCCTGGCATTGTATTTTCCTAATTTCACTTTATTCCCCCACCTCCTTCACTCCCTATCCAAAACATTTGGTAACATCTTCTCACTCAAAAGCTTTCTTTGCAAGATGTAAAACATCAAACACACCACAAGCTTAGTCAACAAGTGGAACTCATTAAAATGACTATGCAAAGCTGTCAAGCACTTACTTGGGAATTACTTTATTAAAAATAAAATTACACTGAAGCAAAGTCTGAAGTCATTTTTAGAAATAAAGACATTTTCAGCATTCAGAAATAGCCACCCACTCATATAAACATACATTTTTCAATAAGGCATTTGAGATGCTTCCTCTGCTAAAAAAAGGGAGGGTAAGGATACATTTACAAACACAAACCAAGTCTGCTACCACTTTACTTACAGTTTACCAAAGATGGCAACACATTCTTAAAACCACAAACATTTCACTGCTTTTATGCTATTGTTTAGCTACTTTCATGGCATCCTGTGAAAGTTTCAGTGCATCTGGAAGGCATGAAAGGCAGGTCTTCACTGTCATTTCCAGCAGCATCTTGCATTCTAGCAGACATCGACATGGTTGCACCTTCACATCAGTATTTTTAGCTCGTCGCACTATGCAGCATTTGATTATAGGTATCATCAAAAACTGCATCTCAAAGTACTATTTGTAGAAGGATCATTTTCAAAGGATAGTTTTCAAAGGTGACATTTTGAACTAAACCCAGCAGGCAAAACGAGCACAAATATGTACAATTCCACATACTTGGGAATTATCTGGATTGTGTTTTCTTTGGAATCTGTAAAAAAAACACGAACTAAAGTGCTTTTCAATGTGTCCTCATTGATTAAAAGGACAGGTATTTTAAATATTTAAATAAAACATCATCATGTTGCTTAAAGAGACATTTCAACAGAACGATAAATATTATCTGCACTTAATTTTAGCTTTGCAATTAAGCATATATCATTTCAAGAATTTCTAGACAAAAATCTCAACAGTACAAAATCTATTTATTCACTGGAAAATATAAGTTGAAGAAATAAATGCTTATTATTCCAGTATGTCAGCTTTTAGTGCAATTTACTAGCATTGCTACCAAACTCAACTTTGAGCTACAGGGTTTTGAAAAATGTCATACAAAGAAAAAAACACAAGCATGGGTTAACCTATAAAGTCAAAACTTAGCCTAGGTAAGGACTGGAATTTGTCACACCAACAGTGGGTACCCGACTAACCAAATAAATAATTTATAAATTAAGCCACTCTGTTATTCAAACCAGCTAACAGAAAACCTTAATTTAAATCCAAAATAATTATCTTGCTGTCTTTGCTAGGCATTACCTGGCTTTTAAAACTTCAAGCTAAAGAGTGATTTGAAGAGCTGACTCTTCTTTTACAATTTAGGTTCAGTTTCTGCTACAGAATACCCAATTCCACTTTACAGTCAATTTCACATTCCAGTCTTGTAAACTTGACATTGGGAGCACTGCTAGTGTTTTCTAGATCTCCAATGAAAAAAAAATTCCTTAGAAGAGTACGTAATGTACTTATTTCATCTGATATGAAATTCTGCTAGATCAAAAGGTGTATAAAGACATTTAAGGATGATTAAGAACAATTATTTAAAAGTTAATTGTTACATGTCCTCCAGAACATCACTTTCGATGTTTGAGAGATCTTTCAAACAAAAGGCAAGATAGAGTGCCCCCTTCCAAAACACCTGACGAGGTTTCCCTGGCAATTGGTTTGCCAGCAGTAAACAGCACTAAAATTTTGCATGTGAGAAGAGTAAGATAGCGACACACTAATATTGTATGAACTACAGATCTTTTTACTCCATATGGAAGATAAAAAATAGAAAGCCTTCATACTCAAACCTCAGCTTCATCAATGTGAACGACCTACATCCATAGTGCCATATCTGCAGTAAGACTCCAGTTCCCAAAGCCAAACAGTTTGTGGCAGTACTGTCTACAGTGCCTGTAAATGAAAAACCTGAGTGCAAGTCCCAACTTCAGGATTATGCACGTAGAGTCTTCCCCGATGAGCGAGCTGTTGGTCTTGTCCAGACTGCAGCCAGAGAACAAGATGCTGCTGCTGACGTGGGGAAAACAGCAAATGCAAAGTGGAAGCACAGATGTCATCTTGAATATCTGCTTGGCACCAGAGAGAACAGACTTCTGCTGTTTCTTGTTAGAGAAATCTGCTCTCATTTATATTCTGAAATAAAACATCTGCATCCAGACACCGTGCATTCCTTTCATGTTAAGAACATGGCATATTCAAGGATTCACTTGGCCTCCAAGCCTGGGTTTTTAGAGTTGATACCTGCTTGTTTATAGTGAGCCCTGATAGTCAGAAATGTTTGGATCCAAGAATCCAGACTGATTTAATCCAACCAACACCTATGAGTTACTTACAAGAAAGAATCCTCCAAGGTTAAAAGAAGTGTCATTTAGTCATTTCCAAAATGTATTTGTCATTATTTAAGCTCAGCTATAATGTTTCTTTACCCAGAAAATGGTAATACCCTCTCACTCATTAATTCTTCTGGTATTAGATTATGTCCTTTACTCATTTGGTAAGTTAAACGTTTGCATACTGCTTTCACCAAAATAACAATTAGTATTTGCTAAAGCACTGACAGATGTTTTGGACCATTCTCCCATAATTAATTCTTTACAAACTGACAGTAATAGCTTATAGACAGAGGGGTTAAGTCCAGCAAGTTTTAATATCAAATTGCAAGCTATGCTATCAGTTCATTTGTGGAATGCAACAGCTGACAAAAAAAAATAATCTCTTTCCAGAAGTGTGAATGGATCATTCTCACTGACTATGAAAGCCTGTGCAGCTGGTGTTTTTCTGGAAAGAAAGTGACAAAATAAGCTGGAAACAAAATAAAGCTGGATTTTAAAAGTGCAGTGTTTCTTTGTTTAATCTTTTTAAATGTTATATCATCTCTTCAAAGCTATTATATTGAATGGACACGGAGCTAAAGTTAGACCAAACCTTCCCTCCATAGATGGTTTTGCAGCATTTTCAGGATACAAAAAGGTAAAACTTTGCATTAGACTTGCAAATATTAAGAACAGCTCCATTTTTGCCAACTGCTCTCCCATGCACACACGTTTACCTAAAGAACAATTAGAAGAGACGTATTACTGTTTTGATACTGTTGCTCCATTTGTTAACACACATGCAATTCCTATGCTCGCACAGCCCAAACACAGAAAGGCTCAAGCTCCTGTTAAGCTATGAACTCTGAAGCTTTTCTCTCCCATATTTGAGTCTGAGCCTTGCTCAGCTGTACTGCTCCATATTAACAGCATTTACAATCACAGCAAAAGTATTATCAAAGGACAATTCATCACTTCTAATTTCTGCCTGGAAACTGAAGACTTTAGGAACCCCACCCATTTTGCAAGCCAACAACTGTAATAATAAAACAAGTTCTGTAGTTGGTCCTATGCACAACTTTTACATCTCGTACCTCCAAGGCCCTATACCTGAAACATCACCACCCTCCCAACCAGCTACTGACTGCACATGGATATCTTACCCATTCCAAAAGGAACAAATTCCTCTTTCTTAATTAGCTGGCCATTTTCATCCAGAAATCTTGATGGTTGAAATTCATCTGGTTTCTCCCAAATGTTAGGATCTCTATGGACTGACCACAAGTTGGGTACGATCACACTGCCCTTAGGAATGGTATATCCCTGCAGCACTTCAAACAAAAGCAGAGACACAGAGGATCTGACAAGTTGCTAAAAGTAAACATAGGAGACAGACTTATTAAAAACTCACTAGAAGATGTCACAAATGATACAGATCCCTAGCTGTGGGCTGCAAACGTAGCAGAGCTTAAGGTGATCTCTGTTAGCCTGCCTGGGTCAGAATCACGCAGGCCAGAGCAGCTGGAAAGACATCCAAGTTACACCAACAGCTCCCTGCAGGGAAAAGGCAGCAGCAATCGTTAGAAATGTACTCTGCTGCACAGAAGTGCTGTGACCCAGTTTCCTCCTGTTCCTGTGCTGTCACAGAACCCCACTATAGTGAGGGTGGAGGTAAGGAAAAAGGACAAGTTTCAAACTGTTACCACAAAAGGGTTTCGAAGTGACTACTCTCATTTCAGCTTGTTGCACCTCACTATCCTGCAATCCAAAACATGTTATTTTAAAAAGCAGATCAATTCAATACTGGGGTTGAAAGCTGAGTATTGCTACCTCCCACTCACTTTAACCAGTGTTCAGATATGTTTATGAAAAAACATAGTCAATAAGATCACTTGGAGAAGGATATTTGTTATTGTTTTCTGTTGATGTGGAGCTCAAAGGTATAAAAGTCTTTCAAGCATCAGCAAACCAGTTGCTCCGAACAGATGTTTTCAGACCTCTGTTTCAGATGGTCAAAACCAGACAGCTGTTTGGGTACAAAGGTGGAGTCTCAGCTGCCAACTACCAGTAAGCACATCAGTCAACATATGCTGACCCCCAGAAAGGAAATAGCTCTAAATTAGAAAACTTCAGGATGTTAGGTCAGACATGCTGCTGAAATAGAGGAGCATCTCAAGCCTACCTGCTCTCTGTAAATGGCATTTTACATACTTAGGTTACATGTCTAATACATAAATGAGGTCTTTGTAAATTCTCACTAGATACCCCATCAGATCTTCATCCACAAAAATGCTGTATGAACAACTCTCTGCAAATGCTTACCAGCAGTTTCTGAGGCCATTCGAGGAATAGAAAGGGGAACAACCGCAGTCATCCTCTGCACTTCCATAATGGTTGCCTCTGTGAAGGGCATTTGAGCCTTGTAGGTAAGAGAGGGAACTTTGTCACGTCCTAGAACTGCTTCAATTTCTGCATGAACCTTCTCTATTCAAAGGCAGCAAGAAAAATAGAATAAAAAAATGCACAAGATGTGAGAAGACACCATCTCAGTTCCATTTGTCCATGTTTCACTGTTTACATAGATTTATCGAAAATGACTACAAGACCTGTGGACCCCTAGCTGAGCTAACTATGCCAACATAGGCCTTAAGAATGGACTCAGTTAAGAACAAAACAACCAAGCGCAGTCTTGACAACTGTCAAGAGTAAAGCCACTGAGATGACAGACATTGCTAGCACTGCTGTATTGGAAAAGTACAGGAAAAGTTCTGTTCCAGTTCCAAATATATTCATAATCTTAGTTGAAGAGTTGAACTACCCAGTAATTCGGTGAAAACATCAAGCTTCTGATCTGCATTTAAAAAATGAACAAAAAGAGACTGCATGCAGTGTGTGCGTGAGCTGGCTTCTGTCCCTGGGGAGATCCGGTTCTCAGAACCGGGAAAGGTGGTGACGAGATGGGAAACTTTTCATGCAGCTGCTTTAGATACTTCCTTCTGGATCAGGAATTCTGGTGCTGTTACTGCAAGCATTAAAGCCATTTAACTCGTTCTTGCTGTTTCCTATTTTCTGTTCACAGAACCTAAACTCGTCTATTTCCCAGTTCCCCAAAAGGCAGCAGCAGCACATGTTCCTTCCCCCACACAGCCCTTCTGCAAAGGAAAAACAGAAGTTAACGAGTTCATCTCCCCTCTCTTTCATGGGAGGCACAAAGGGTCAAAATATGTTTGCCCTCGTCATCTCATTAAAGGCTCAGCATCCTCTTCATAGAAATTTCCAAAATGCAAGATTTGCATTACCCATGTACAGGGTGATGTGCCTTTTCTTCCACGTAACCTGGAATCTGGCTACACAGCAAAAGACGGTATTGAAAGAGAAGACCTCAAAATTAACCTTTAATCAAAGATAATAAAAGTAAAATTTGGTTTTTTTGTTGTGTTTTTTGTTTTTGTTTTTTGTTTTGTTTTGTTTGTTTGCTTGTTTTAACCCTTGATATCTTGAATATTTTGTGGTTGTCCTGCTTGCCTTTTCCAAGATTCAGAACCCAGGCTGCTGATACTCTGAGTTTTTGCTCTTTTTTTCTCCTTAGCACTGATTCAAGATTAAATAAATTTCTATTTTCAGAGCAGCACTCTGAAATACCGTATGAACTGTGTTCAGCAAACAGTTACTGCCACCTACTGGGTTTGCCAAGGAAAGAAGTTCTCAAATGAGGAAAAGACAGTAAAAAAAAAAACTCGACAGCAAGACTAATGCTGCTAATGGTGTGGCTCTTGAGTATCTGCTTTGTGGGGTTTCGGTACTTTGTAAAATGACACATAATGGTCCTGCATTCAGGTATGCACGTCCATAGCAGTTTAAACGAGGAAAGTTTTCAATATAAAAACAAAATTAAGGAGACTGTCTCGGGCCAAATGTCACACCAGCATTTTATCCTGAACAACACTTCTTAGGAGTTTGTAACGATAAGTGGAACTACACAGAAAGCAGCCAAACTGCTGCTCACATCAGCAACTGCAAAAACAGAGACTTCAACAGTTCTCTGCTAACGGCATGTTGTTTGGACTGCTCCACTACATTACATAGATTTAAAAATCTCACAGATCTTCAGAAGCCAAGAACCAAAACCAAGTCAGGGAACAGACCAAACCAGACACTCCTCACTGCCTCCCTATATGCATGCACACCCACCCTTTCTCTTTTTCCATGAAAAAGCAAAAAAACTGGCTTCCACAGACAAATGCATTCTTTCTGATCTTTTCTTCTGATAGCCCTTCATTAACCTCTCCAGAAAATGTTCGCAACATTTGCTACCACTAAAAGTTCTGCAATTTAGGTATTTCCTTTAGGGGATAAGAGAAACTTATTACTGGGGGAGCGTGGGGGGTGGAGGGAAGACGCCCATACATGACTCCCCAGCAACCAGGATATGTAACAAATAGAACACTAGAAGTAAGAAAATTACATTATCTAGCTGAGTGATACACTCTGAACTACTGAGGTTATTTATATTGTTTGACAATAGCCACAGCATAAGGAAAAGGGAAATCAGAAAGGTAATAAAACTGACAGAGATCAGCAGAAGAGAGAAAACTTACTAGCACATACATGTACAGTACCAGGTAGTAGGGAAAAAAAACAAAACAAACCACAAAACTTTTCTAGATCTCATTTGTGTAATTTAGACTATATCCAATTCACGTAACTGCACATCAAGTCATGCAGTGATAACACAAAATCATTAAAGGTAGAAGAATAAGCCCATGCAATAAAATTTTATTTTTCATTTGTGCCTCCTGGACACTCTCTCCCATATACTGAACTGATGCCCCATTTTGCAATCTTTGCTCAACAGTTCTGTTGACTTTGTGCAATAAACTATGATCTTGACCTATTTACAGAGATTATTTCAGACAGATAGGTGCTGTAAACAAGTAGCTATTTGCTTATCTTCAAAGCAGCTGCACCCCGAGAAAACTTCAAAATCTCAAATACCTGACAAAAGTATTCCAAGTTTATATTTTTCTTGGATAATTTGAGGTTTACCCTTCTTCACCCCAGGTTAGCAAGAAGTCTGGGCTATTTTACTATTTTAATATTGCAACTTCTCCAACACCACTGGTATTTTTTATATTCACAAAAATCTACAAGTAATTTTCTAGAACTGTCACAAACAGTAACCAGATCATAGCATTATCAAATAATTTGGGTTTCAAGGAGTCTCTGGAGGTCATCTGATCTAAACCCTTACTCAAAGCAAAGTCATCATCCAAGTTAGATCAGACTACTCAGGGCCATACCCCACTGAGTTTTGAATACTTTGAAATTCTGTTAGCTCTCAGGGCAACCTGTTGCGCTCCTCATTGTCTTCACAGGGAAATTTTTTCCCCAGTGTCCAATAAGATTTTTCTTGTTGCAGACTGTCTTTGCTGCCTCTCTCCCCTCCACTGCACACCTCAGACGACGCTGCCTTCATCTTCTTAGCATCTTCCACTCAGGTAGCTGTAGACAGCAGAAGGTCTCCCCTCAGTCACCCTTCCTAACACTGAACAAGCCCAGCTCCTTCTGCTTCTCCTCTGGAGCCATGGCTTCCACACGTCTTTTTCTCCTCCATTATCACCAACCTACCCAACTGCCATGACTGTTCAAGACTGATGGGGAAAAGCCTTGCAATGACACTGACCAGCTGGCACCAGGGACTTAGTCTAAGTCCAATTTGCTTAAGCTGTCACTAATTTGACCTTCCTCTACAGTGGGCAGTGCTTCACTTCCCCAGACCCTGACGCTAGGCTCAAGAACCTCCCTGCTCAAGGAGGCATAAAAGCAGACCTTACCACTACGTACCTTATGTATCTTATATGACTACTATATGCCTGGAATACCACAATTGCCAAAGCTTTTGGAACATGCTGAGGTTCCCTGGAATTGTTTGGGAAAGAAAGCATCCCAACACAGAAGAAATGCATAGATTAAAAGGGTCATTTAGATAGTTAAATACATAGCACTAACTTAGAGATCATCATAGCAGGGCAGGATAGATGTCTCATTACATATCAACCTTTCAAATTGCACATACACATATACTATTTGCACTCCAAATGATGTCTCTACTGTTGCTGTTTGCTTCCATTTCTGAACATCCATCTAGAGCTTTGCAGTTTGGAATAAAACACTAGAACAAACAGAGTCTTACCTTGTACTTCTGGGTAAAGAGACATGTAGAGCAGGCACCACAGTAATGTGTTGGAAGTAGTGTCTGTGCCTGCGATGAAGAGGTCACCAATGATAAAAAATAAGTAGTCTTCATTAAAACTGCTCTCCTTGTTCTTTTCTTCTTCTGCATGGATGAAGTACATATCAATGAAGTCCCTGGGATTTGCTGCATCCAGCGTATCCTTGTGCTGTGCAATTATTTTCTTTAGAAAAGCAGTAATATCTAATTGTGTTTTCCTAACTTCCCGGAAAGGCCCAAAAGGGAGGTAGTACAGCCACGGGCAGATATTGACAAGAATCATATAGCTGTTCATGCTCAGCTCTAGTGCGCGCGCCATGTTCTTCAGCATCATCTTGAATTCAACATCTTCATAGTCGAAGCGCCTGCCAAAGGCCATGGAACAGATAACATTGGACACTGCATTGCGGATGATCGGAAAGGCATTAAATGGCTCCTTTCCATGCTTCAGCATTTCCTCCTTTATAAACTTCAGCTCCTCAATGATTTTAGGCTCTAAGCTGTGCCTTCCTACTCCAAAATGACGCAGCGTTGAGAGAGAGAATTTCCTCTGTTGCTTCCAGACAGGGCCGTAAGGTGCAAAAATAACACCTGGAAAAGAAAGGGAGAAAGAGTCTGAAACCAAAATCCTGTCCCTCCTCTTCCCAGTCAGTGAATTGAATGTAACAATTACATCAATAGTCTCCTTAGTCTTTGCAAGACACTAATAGATGGAGAAAAGGTACCGCAGATGCTTTATTATAACTCTGGGACATATGTTAGCTATAGCTTTTTCTCCTCAATGTCCTGAGACACACTTTCCTTCAGTGAGGCAGAACAGAAGCTCTTAAAATGCAAACTGGTTTGCATTTCTTTTCCCCTTCATGTTATACAACTGCTCAATACTATTTGCAGGTGTACACATTTGTATTACAAGCAAAGTTTTTCTTTAACTATAACAAAACTACAGGATGCGCATGCTGCAAACAAAAAAAAACTGGGAAGGGTGAAGATGGGTTCAGAGCCACCTGGCAAAAACCTACTTGATTTGCATCTCAGCAGTTTTGATGCCTCTAGGCACATGTTATGCACGATTGTGTCATTATGAAACCCTCAGCTTCAAATATAAATATCGCTCATTTACAAACAGAAACATCTCTTTTGCTGAATTAACAGACCACAACAGAGATGCTGCAGCGTAACAAAACATACAACCTGCTATTTCTAATGTACTCCACGGTTAACCTGAGAAAGTTTAAAGACACCAAAACACAGGCTAGTTTTGCTTTTGTTCTTCTAGTGACCAGAACATTACAGAGAGTCAGAACATGACAAAGGGTCAGAACAAGCTGAGAATCATCTGAACTTCATCTTCTCTGCAGGAAGACATTCCTTGACTATTCAAATGTCTGTTCCCTGGCACTTTAAAAACTTTCCAGATCCCCCTTCCCAAGTAACTTTTCACAGTAGCACTGGTGTCCTCAAGAAGGGTAGGTGAAAAAGCAGGCTTCTTTGGGGCTGAATTTGGCCAAGAACCAGCTCGGGGTTTTCACGGTTTGTGGCTGGGGTGGGGAAGAAACATGAATTTCCTGGAACAAAACAACATAATCACTATTTCTATCCCACAACAAATATCTCCAAAACAGACTACACATCCACAATCTCTTCCCCTTTCTGTCATTAAGAAAACTAGTTTTAGGATACAAACACCTTCATAAAAGAAAACAGATATACTGTCTTGAATGTAAAGACGACTCTCCCAGCCACCCGGGAGGGCTAACACCAACAAACTCATGCTCAGAGTCTCTCCAGCTGTCCTGTGCAGGGCATGGCTGTGCAGTACGATGCCTTCTGAAGCCCTGAAACCCCAAACAACTACAGAATACTAATAATTGATTCGCAAATTGTGTAAGAATAACATAGAAGACAGATTAAGAAGAAAGAAGAGCATAAAGTCAAAATAATAGAGATAAGAAAACTGCCAACTGGATCACCGCCAGACAACAATAATGGAATAGTACTTCACTGGTCTCAACGAAAATCTCTGCATGACCTGAAAAATCAACGTACTCCTGCTCTTAGCCGTTGCTAGCTTGCTAAGAACTGGGGAAACACACAGTGACTTCATATCGCTGCCAAAGGATTTGGAATTTCTTCTCCTGATAAAGCTACCATGAGAAAGCCCCCAGGTGCCAGACTAGCTGTTCATTAAATCCCTGCACAAACACAGCATTCCCTTCACAGTAAGCAAAGGGATCAGGCATCTCAGTCGTGACGGTGTCTGTTGTGCGCTGAACTTCACAGGGATGCTGCACGTCCACCTCGGGGCAGGGCGAGTTTCTCTCTGTCTGCTTTCTGTCACCAGCAGGGCAAGAGACCCACACGACGAGCAAAACGCAAGTAGATAGCTCAGTCAACAATTCACAACCCTTATTTATCCATCTCAGCGCAGCAGCCACCAACCCGAAGGGCTCCTGCTCAGCATTGCCCCGGCAGCCCCCCAGGCGGGATCCCCGCAGCCGTCCCCGGGGAACCCTTACCCTTCTTGCGGGTGATCATGAGGACGATGGGGACGGACGGACGGTACGCTGAACCCCTCCGCCTTCTGCACCAGCGCCTCCCGCACCGCCCCGAACGTGTTGAGGACGATGAAAGGCCGGCTGCCCACGAAAAGCCGGAAAACGCTGCCGTACATCTTGGTGAGGCCGGTGAGGAAGACGTGAGGGGAGAAAACGGGGGAACCCCGGCC